CAAAACCCCTGGCTGGGTGCAGTGGTTCAGGCCTGTAATCCTAGCAATCTGGGAGGCCTAGGCCAGTGGACTGCCTGAGCTCACAGGTTGGAGACCAGCCTAATCCAGAAAGCGACCCTGTCACTAGCTAGCTAGGCTTTGTGGCCAGCACCTGTAGTCCCAGCTACTTGGGAGGCTGAGGCAAGACAATTGATTACACCCAAGAGTTTGAGGATGCTGCGAGCTGTTGACACCTTTGAGTATGTGATACCAAGTGAGAGTTTGGCTCAAAAACAAAACCCTAGAAGCCTTGGCTCCTGGAACCAGCTGGGTAGGCAAAAGGCTAGAGCAGTGCTTTTCAAACTTTTTGATCTCAGGGTACACCATTTGAATCTATGGTTAAAACTTCCATGGCACACTTCAATTATGTTGATAAAAAAAAAAAAAGTAAAAAATATACTGGCCCAGGGTGGCGCCTGTGGCTCAAGAAGTAGGGCGCCAGCCCCATATGCCGGAGGTGGTGGGTTCAAACCCAGCCCCAGCCAAAAACCGCAAAAAAAAAAAATATATATATATACTGGCTCAGCACCTGTAGCACAGTGGTTATGGCGCCAGCCACATGCACCAAGGCTGGCAGGTTCGAGTGTGGTTTGGGCCAGATACACTACAATGACAGCTGCAACAAATATAATAGCTGGGTGGGTGGTATGAACCCGGCCCTGAACCCACCCTGGCCAAATTGCAACAAAGGAAAAAAAAACTAACGGTGTTGTGGTGGGCCCCTGTGATGCCAACTACTTGGAAGCCGAAGGCAAGAGAATTGCTTAAGCCCAAGAGCTTGCTGTGAGCTCTGACGACACGGCACTCTGCCCAGGGTGACAAAGTGAGGGACACTGTCTCAAAAAAAAAAAAAAAAAAGAAAAGAAAAGGAAAAAATACTATGCTTTGAATTTATTTTGAAAATAATTAAAAAATAATTAATGATGACGGTGGCACCTGTGGCTCAGTGAGTAGGGCGCTGGCCCCATATACCGAGGGGTGGGTTCAAACTGGCCATGGCCAAACTGCAACAAAAAAATAGCCGGGCGCCTATTGTCCCAGCTAATAGGGACACTGAGGCAAGAGAATTGCTTGAGCCCAAGCGCTGGCGGTTACTGTGAGCTGACGCCACAGCACTCTCAAAGTGAGACTCTGTCTTTAAAAAAAAAAAAGATATTTAAACTAGGTTGTATGGTTCATTATACCCATTCTTTTAAGACAGCCTCAAGCTATGGCCCTGGGTACAGTGCCCTAGCTTCACAGCTCACACCAACCTCAGCTCCTGGGCTTAAGTGATTCTTTTGCCTCAGCCTCCCAAATAGCTGGGACTACAGGCACCTGCCACAATGCTATTTTTTGGTTGTAGTTGTCATTGTTGTTTGGCAGGCCTAGGCTAGATTCAAACCTGCCAGCTCTGGTGTATGTGGCTGGCACCTTAGCTGCTCGAGCTACAGGGGCCACCCACATTAACATGTCCTGAGTATACAGAAGGTCTAGATTTTCTTAGAAATGATAGTGCCGGCTCGGCGCCTATGGCTCAAACGGCTAAGGCGCCAGCCACATACACCTAAGGTGGCGGGTTCGAATCCCCAGTCCAGACCCGCCAAACAACGATGGCTGCAACCAAAAAAATGGCCAGGCGTTGTGGCGGGCGCCTGT